TTGTTCAGAAGCTGAAAATTGAGAGAACTATATCTCAAGAATAATAATAATCCACTAGACTTGGTTTCCAAGTTTTGAAGATGTTTCGTTTCCCCTCCAGGAAGCTTTCTTCCTGAAGGGGAAGCGAAACGTCTTCAAACCTTGGAAACCAAGTCCAGGGGATTTTTTTTTATAAACTTTTACGGAATGACTATAACCTGGATGACTGAGAATCTTCATCAGCATATCTCAAGAGCAAAAAATAGTTATTAAAGTACTTAGGAACAGCAGCTGTCTTACCGGTAATTTGACGGAAATACAGATATGAATTTAGGCCTTGAAGCTACCATAATTCTTAAAGAAACGTTTTTAGAACTTCAGGTGCAGAACCTTTAGATGTCGTACATGTGGAATATATGTCAAATATGTGACCTAAGAAGCAATCGGCCAGTTCATCTCTTCAAGGAACTGTTTCTAAGTTCAGGTAACACAGTTTAAAACTACATTAATGTTCATAGTCATCTACCTGGACTACATTTTTAATTGTCTTCTATTTTGGACTACCGTTGTTAATTTATAATGTTATTTTTAGAAAAGTGGGTTCAAAGTTCATGTGGGTTATGACACCGTGCAACAACTTTCATACTAATAATATTGGTGAGTGGCTCAATACAATTCTGAATAAAAGTTGATATAAAGTTGAATAAAACTGAAGACATTTCATGTTTAGGCAATCATTTTTTTTCTACCCTAGATCAGAGGTTCCTAAGGTTGAGGTTGGGAAATACTGATTTTGGGGGGGGTTAACAACATAGTTTCCCACTAACACTGTAATGCGATCCCTGAGGTATATTGAGGGCAAAATAAGTCATGAAAGAAATAAGTGGGAATAAAATTAAACAAAAGCAAAAAACTGTAGCATGTAATAAGCATATAGAATATGTTTGCATTTATTTATTTAATACATGAATAAAATATTAAATATACCATTAAACTGTAGGATGCATGATTAAATGTCCTATTAAAGTCATAGGAAGGTCATATTTAAACTTCAAATCATTCTTGCTTAAACATGGATATAAATGTACTCTATATTAGATTACGTTCTCCCAAAAGTTAGAAAATTTCTATTTAAAAAAAAATCCTGTCTTTAAATCTGTTTTTTCCCCCCGTTATTTCATGCAGGCCAGTTAGTTATACGTCAGCCTGAACACCTAAATTCTTCCAATCATATATCAACGGTCATCTGTCAATCATATTTTTTCGGTCACAGCATCTTGATTCATATGTCGCAGCTAAGATACGCAACGGTTGAAATAAGAAATAGGAATCATTATTTACTTTACCATTGAGTTCCGTCCCAGTGTTCACAGGGATGGACGTCAGCAGGCGTAGAGCTAACAGAACTGCCGGCGTTGCGAGGCAAGGGCTCAAACATGTATGGCTGGAAGCCTTCCACACCAAAGAAAGCTTCTGCCGCCCTGGCCTCCTCTTCCACAACAACTACGTCCCCACTTTCCTTCTCTAAATAAAACATTTATGATGGAGGAGACTTATCCACGACCTCCAACACAAAACTCTTCTCCTCTTGCATGTTTCCGCTGTCCATAGCGTTCCTTGACTGTTGTTGCTAAGTGCTACTTGGTCCCAATGTAATTTCCCATTGGGAACCTACTAACACTAAGTTGCTAATTGGTTAGCAAGATGCTTCTGAGACACCGGCAGCAACCAAACTTGCTTGCAAACCTTCCGCTACAACAATCCCGCCCTCTTGATAATCGACCAATCACATTCACTGTATTCCCTCGTGTAAGGTCGTGCACCACTCGGGAGAATTCTGAACTGCAGTCGTTGGAACAGCCGCTTCCCTACGACTTTAAGTGTTTAAAAATGCCTCTTTAATTATTGATAAAATAATTTCATTTCATTTATAATGTATTTATTTAAAGATGAATGTAACGGATTCACTTTATATGTTTAAATAAATATAATTTCAATTAATTCTGTGTAGTTTTAGGGGGTTGTCCGTCCATAGAGAAACTTGAGTGTTCAGGTGGTTTGTTGCTTGCAGCAATGATGGATACTGAAGATGATTTTAAGATCATCTGTTCAGCCAAGTTGAAGAGAGCTTCATTAGCTCTGATGAAGTAGGAAACAGGATTATGACCATTTCTCTTCCAGGTTTCGCCATCTTCATAAGTTTCCTTTAATTGTTTGGCATTTTATTTTGAGCATGAATAGTGATTCTATAATCTCTTCTTTACTGCCAAAAAAAATATGCATTTCTTACCTAATGTCCTGTTTGCAGCAAGACGTCTTTAGATAGAGCAATTGTTCTAGCATAATTCTCCACCCTCGGTCTTCCTGTTCTTGTGAACGAGAGCTGGCAGTAAGGAGACCAATGCTCCTATGATTAGGAAGAAACTGCTTGATTATGAAAAAGGAAAAAACGTTGAGTCTAAGAAATAAAAACTGAAAGATAGAGAGGCTTATGACCCTTTTTTCTTTTTTTTGTGTGTTTTCCGCCTCATCCTCTCTTCTTACACTAAGCCCCTGTTTGATCAACAGAAGCATATTGATTTTTGTTGACGGCTTACAGTTAGAATCAGAGGAGAGGACGAATCAATGCCAACAGTCTTTAATTCTGTTGACCGAACACACTGCAAGGCTTAATTGGAAGGAAAACTCACACATTTAAATGCTGCAGGGATTTCCATGTTGTTCTCACAAAATCAACCACACGCATGTGCTTTGGGTATAATGGGTGGATGGGTGAAAAAAGGCGTTTTGATGTTTGTTAAAGCTGAGAGCGGTTGTGCACCTCTGATACTTTTTCATGGTGGTTTTCTCGAGAAAACAAGTACATTTTCTCATTATCTAAACATAACGAAAGCCATTTTCTCCTGATAACAAGATGATTGGTGTATGTTAAAACTGATTACATCCTTCAATACCACAACAGCGGGAGAGAATTTATAAGTATAAGTCATGGTAGCCTATGTGTAATTCTGAAAATGATGCTGTGTTTAACTTTTAGGTAACGGGACGACATTGTTGGTTTGATTAGTTGCTTCCACTTCTGATTCATAAGCAATTAGACCTATGCCTCCGGTTTCTTAGTGCTGGGTGTTTTCTGAACAGCCCCGGTGTTAAGACTTTAACAGGTATAAGATGCATTAACACCCAAAATGAGTCTAGATTAAAGAATTTCATAAAAAAAAAAATCAGATTTGTTTCTACTATATTCCATGCAATCCAATCATCCACCACAACCTGACAAGGAGTGAAAAGAAAAAGGAAAGTATAAAACTGATTATTTGCACACACGCGGAACCATGACTGCACAACTACGGGCACTGCAGGCATGGATGGACTGGGAATCCAGGGCTGTTTACCAGCCTCATTCATTACTCATACAGGTTAATCATCTCGTTATCTCGGGAAATCAGTAACTGTTTTCCCGTGATAACGAGATAGTTATGTCATTATCCCGAGAAGGCAAAGGAAGAAAAAAAAAGTATGACCGCTCTTGGCTTCCAAAGGGTGACCAAGAAAGCAATGGTTGTGAAAAAATACAGTTCTCTGACACTTATTGTTGTTACTCCAGTGCAATCTACTGTTAAGTTGATTACCTAGGTTCTTATCTCAGTCCAGTGTCTGTATTCAGTTTAATGCATGTTCATAGTTTCAGTATGGTGGGTCTGCACCTGCAGAAATCCACCACCCGCTTCTAATTTTCCCCCACCTTGATCGGGAGATGGTTCTGCTTGCAACAGTCCACAAAGTCCTGTGTCCTGTGTCCAACTTTTACTCATGATGAGGCTGACTGAGACTATGCCATAGGAGCTTATTTTGCTTTTATACCAGACTGGTTTAAAGTAGGAGTGTAAATCACACCCATCATGGCGATTCGATTCAGTATCAATTTCCTGACCCAACAATTTGATTATTTTCGATACTCAAGAATTTTCCTGCGCCACGTCTGTCTTGCCTACTTCTTCTTTCACCTCCGCTATTCCTGCCATGTCTGTCTTGCCTGCTGGTTATGTGAGTATGTGTGCAAACTGAAAGAGGGTAGTGGCTAAAGGAAGCGAGGTAGATGGGCAAAATAGGTTTAGCGCCACTGCAGCACGGGAGTCACAATTACGTCCAGGAGCAAATGGATAAAAATAGGCCGGAGGGGAAAAAAAACAAACCATGAATCAATACTCTTGCGAACGTGTTGATGCATCGGATCATCGGCTGTTGGATCAATGCATCGATACAAAACGATTATTATTTACACCCCCAGTTTGAAGTAACGGTGAGGCATAATAGATTCTAAGTTTATTACTGTACAGGTTTCAAATGAGAATTAAAAACTAAAACCAAATAATGAATGAGCTGCTCCAGGACACCCGTTTTATAGTTTTATTATAGGTCATAATAAAACTGCTTCAATCACATTTTGTATTAAAAAAAAAAAGAATACACCTGGATTTTTTTCCTTAATGGAACCAACTTTGAAAAAAAAGTTAAAGGGTCACCACCTCCAAAATTACTTCTAGTTTTTGGGGATGTCAAAACATGAAATCCTTACAATACTAAACAATAAGTTATGATATTTGCGATTAGTTTAACGTATCTGCCAAATATAACATCCATTATCTTAAAGACGTCAGAGAGTAGCCTACAGGGTTTCAGTATCTGTCAGCTGCTTTATCAGCACCAGCAGAAGGTCTTTAGAGCAAGTAGCTCTGATTGTGCTATCATGTGGATTGACGACTTTCACTTCTGCCAAGTTCAGTTTTTTTTCTATGCCTCGAGATCTTTTGAGGCAAAGAACATTATTGAATTTACAGTCATTACAGCATAATATCACAAAGGTGTTTATGCCTAAAGGAATCTATGTCCAAGACACATCACAAATTTTATATTTAAACAAGAAACATATGAACCTAAGCCTAGGATACCTAACAACAGCCGCAATTTTGTTCTAGATGTCTGCATCTGGCATAGAAAGCACCAGGTTGGTCGTCATTGTCATGTTTAGGTTTTCAGACTCTGAATAGGAGCAATCACGGAGGCAATGATCAGTTAAAGGTTTTATTGAAGGTTTGTGGAAGTACAGAGAGGAGTCCGGCAGGCAGGGTTGTCAGGATACGGCTGGAAGAGGTTAGGTGACAGGTGAGCAACCGTTCGGTGCTGGTGGAAGAGTGAGGGATGTATGAGACTCACAGAGAGGACGGCTTGGCGTCTGTTTGGGAGGATGGTGTCCAGTGATCCAGCCTATTGGTGCAGGTCCGGTTGGCGAGATCGGATGGTGGTGTCTGAGGGTGGACTGGCAGGTGCGCTCAGGCAGGAGGGCGTCTTAAGGTTCTGAGACCAGAAGCCTCACAGGTTCCTAGAGGCTGACTGAATGGTTCCAGGGCTTGGGATCCTGGGTTCTAGGAGAAGGGAGCAGAGAGGACAGGGTTAGATTCAGGCAAGGCTTAGGTTCAAGGCTTAGGTTCAAGGCTTGGTTCAGGATCAGTTGTACCAACGCTGAAGCATTAACGAACTGACGCCCTCCTCCTGGTTCCAGCTCCTTAAAAAGGGTGGAAATCAGCTGATGAGGAGCACCTGCCCATCCAGCCCTGCAGAGAGAGAAAAAAGGAAAAGCAAAACCCCAGCCTGCACCCACGACTGGGAGTATGACAGTCATCTTATCCTGTGTAGAAATTCTTGTTGCTAAGCACAACAGCTGAACAAACTAAAATCACTCAACTTATAAAATATTATTAACACCTTTGACTCTTCTGTCTAAACATTGCTACTTCCTCCTGATCCTTTTACTCACTAATAAAAGCATACTTTAACTAAATTCCATCAATCTCTCAATAACCAGCTATCTGAGAGTATGCTCAATTTGGAGGTGTGACTCTTTTTATCCAACCTCAACTCAAGTCTAAAGAATTTGCAACTAAAAGGGCCCTTCTTTATACTGTAATATTAAAATACCTAATTTTCTCGATTTAACAACATGGAGATAAGGCTACAGAGCAGCTAAGGTACTAATCAATAGTACAGGCCATTCTGCAGTTTCTGCAACTTACTGTTGACTTTATTTGAACACACCACAAGAAGTTACAGGATGAAGAGGTTACTTTCACTACTTTGCTTAAAAAAACTTTGATGTTGCCCTAAAGTATGATACTATCTATATCTTGTAGAATACTTCCCCAATACATTCAAGGTACTTTCCAGAACTTACCAGGTACATACTTTGACTTGTAGGGTTGTTTCTGTGAGGAGTAAATTCTTCAACTTCTAGGTTTACCTTCTTGGAGCTTATGGCCTACCTTTCCAGACTTTTCATACTTAGAGGTCACTTCCTACTTTCTATTTGCTATACAACAATTATTTTATATATTTTCCAAATAAGGTACACTTGTTCATGATTATAGATAACAGATAATACAGATAATTCCTTGCTTAAAGAAAGGTTGCCATTCCCCCCCCCCCCCCCCCCCCCCCCCCCCCCCCCTTTGGTGTTTTATGCTTAGAACATTTGCTTATTGCCCTCTGTTACAAAAAATTTCACAGTTTTAGCTTGCAGTATAAATTTTCTCGTTCTTGTGACTACAGTGCATTTTTGTGGCTTTCTCTACCATAACACAAAGTGACCTTCCCTTCAAATTGCTGGGTACAGATCAGCAAGGAATGTTCAATTTTGGAAAAGAAGGGATCAGGAGTGGCTTAATGTTTCACTTTCTCTTGAAAGTTTGGCTAGAAAAGAAATCAAGTGAGTTTAATGTAAACCCAGAAACTTCCCCTGTAGATAAATCATGAAAGTTTATTTGTCTTTCATCAACAACCCATAACCTCATTCTTTATCTAATTTTTTTATTTACAGTTCACTCTGTCCTGAAGACGGCATCTATTCCCCGTCAGCTCTCACAGTTTTCAGCTACAAGGTAATCAGTGGGCATCGCTCTGAGTGGTCAGAGCCTCACGGCAGACGGACTGAATCGAGCAGTTTACGCAGCAGCTACCATTAGGGAGTCCAAAGAAAAAGGTGAGCTTTTTCCCTGAGGTGAAACATGAAAGCTTTCATTTGTTTAGTCCAGCTTTACTCCTCAAGGAAACTCTAAAATGAATCAATTCACTGTTTGGAAATGGTTAAAAATCCCAGACCTGTATTTAACGTGTGGTTAGCATTATGTCAGGATCTAAATGGAAGAAAAGATGAATGCCCTCCTATATATTTCGATATCCATATATCTGCTGACTAGGTTTATGTTTTTCAGGAGTATGTTAATCTAATGGAAACATTGTACAGCAGGTAAATAAGCATACTTAAACAGAAAATATGATGTCACTTCTCTTTTGGTTTTTAAAGTATCCTAAAATTGTTGTATTTTAATATTAAATGAGCAAAAATATATATTTTTTCATATAATATTCTGCGTGTGCAGAGGACTAAAAGATTATCATGCTTCCTACAGTTTTCTAACTTTTTATTATGTCACCCAATAAAGCAATTTGTTTTCTAGAATCATTCATTTGTTGATTTATATTTTCCGCTAGACTAAAGTATCTGTAAACATTGATTCTTCCTGCTACAGAAAACACCCGCCATCCTTTAAAGACGACATGCCCAACGGGTCCCCTCATGGCAGGGTCACTATGACGATCACCTTCTTCTGCTCCCAGCCGGTGTTTATACTGGCGGTGGCTGTGCTCCTCTGCACAGTCAGCCAGGTGACTTGTCAGAAGGAAGGAGAGGCGGAGTCGCCTGCCCAGGTTCTTCAGGACCTGCTGGTCCGCTACGGAGACAACAGCACCATCACAGTGCCTCAGCTGCGCTCACTTCTGGCTTTACTTAGTCAGAGTCAAAGTGAGAAATCGGATGAGAAAAGAGATGAGGCAGAGACAACTACAGTTACACCTCCCGCAGCAAACAGCTCCAAGGTACAAACTATTCTCGGTCTGCTGTCAGCATATCTACTCAGTAAGGGTTCCCTACAGTCGGCAAAACTGATGGCATTTATTTAAGCTTTTAATCTTTACTGGTGTCTGATTTATGGGTCATTATAATTATAACGACACATAAGAGGAGAACCTAGGTAATGTGAATAGTCTGATTTTTTATTTTTATTTATGTTTTCCTATGGTGGAGGATTTGGGCAATAAAAAAAAAAAAAAAACATCCACTCTGTAAATCGACAAAGGCTATTGATTGCTGACTTTAATTTCAGAAGTCTGATTTTATTCTCAGAATTAAGGGCAGGTTATACTCCCGCAGTATAACCTGTGTCACAGTTAGCTTGTTTCAGGTATGACGCCTATATTTTTGATTTATGCCCAAGTTATTCCATGCCACAATTCAAGAGGGACAATCACGAACTAGCTCGGATTGTGGGTGTGGTGGGTGGCATTTTTCTCCCAGTTACCAGGGTCATTCAACAACAATGGCGACTGGACCAATGCGCACTTTGACTGAAAAGTAGCTAATCAATCTAGAATAGATTCACTTCGCTATTCTAGCTGGTCCATCTTCATGAGTCCTTTTCCACAATGGCGGTCATACAAACAAAACAAGCCGGTAAGGTACCAAAGAGGAAATACGGATAGTGTAGAGCGGATGTAGAGTTGACCAATCAGAGGCCTCCTGTCTGCCGTTCACCTACAGTTTTGGGAAGGTGCACTAGAGTGTCGGCGGAAGGGGGGCGCATATCTGCGTTAACTGCGACACACACGCAGACAACCTGGTTTCTGAGTATAAAACAGACTTTATTCTTACATAATTATGACTATTAGTGATATTCCTATTTTATTGAAGCGATAATCCTGGGCTTTGGCACCGCTAAGTACTTTGACTTTCAATTCTGAGATTAACAGTCAGGATAAAGTCAGAAATCAATAACCTGGTTTGTTTTATTGAGTCGTTGTTCAGTTCAAGAATAGATTCATTTAATCCAAACACTCACTATTTCATTTAAATGTGACTCATGTTAAAACAGACATCTAAAAATTCACATAGCAGCCAGATAACAGCACCATATTACCGTGAAGTCAGTACAACAATAATATTTGGACTATTAAAAAAACCTTTTTGAGTTTGAGAATTCCAGATTTTTATCTCTACACTGGATTAATCCCAGTTCAGTTTGACATTTACAAACCTCCTCAGTCCAACCTCTCCCTCTCTGGTTGATGGGTCGTGGACTTTCAAGCTTTCCTTTTATATTTAGCACCACATTTTTCCTCATACTTTCATCACAAATGCAGAAAAAGCAGAGGAGTCAATTGTTCTCCGGCTTTGGCTAGGAGAGTTAGGTACTGGTGCCACAACACAGGCATAGTTTTCATATTTCCCGTACTTAGTGTCATAAACACTGATCTGCTTTTTCGGAGATTAATACGGAGTTCTGAGAAAGCCTCAAGTGATTGAAACTTAACATTACATTACACATTCCAGGTGATGATTTTTTTTTCTCGTATGTCATTTTCCTGAAATTTGCTGTACCAGCAGAGAGTATGCAATACAGCAAAAATAGATTTTGATTTTTGATTTGCTGCCATTTTGATGGCCACATGCCTTCCTGGCTAACTCTACGGCTGCAGCTCACATGATCGCAGACAACAGCCCAGTAGCAGTCATTCAAGATAAGCTTAGTTTATCATCATCCTCTAGTCCTCTATGGCAGCTGCTGTGAACACTAAACATGCTTCTGGTTTAAATACTGCTGTCTGCTTGTAACGGAGGAGATTATTTTCCCTATTGTGGTATAACTGTGGACTAGAGCTCGGAAATTTATAGAATCCTCAATTATACCTATTAGTAAGGCCAGCAGGTGGCCATACATGTGCATTACGAGGCATTAGAGAACTCCCAGAGCTAAAGTGAAGCAGTGCTATGGGCACGATTTCCTCAGAATGGCTTTAAATCAGGTTTTTGTCCCCGTTTTCTCCTCTTCTTTTGATGAAAAAGTGAGACATTTCCTGGAGGGTGTTGACCAATCTTTCCTCAGCATCCCATTTTTAATGTACTTCTAATGTTTCCCATCCCAGTGTTTGCCTGCAGACACGCTGGCTATTTACAGCATCAGCGAGCAGTCCCGGCTGGATGGGCAGGGTCTCCAGAAGCTGTGTCCCACCATGCTGCAGCAGCTGGATGCCGGCACCTGCAAGGTGAAAAAGGGGGAGGAGCTAAGCACGGACCCCTCCCCCAGACCTACAGATGCAGAAGGTGAGAATAAGCTGAATAATCTGAATGACTGTAGCTATTAAATTGCTTTTCTGTCAAGTATTTAAAATGAACATTGACCTTTTTGTTTAAGGCTTCATCCTATTTTCCCGTTGCCTCAAACTGTTCCCTAACACTGTCATTGTAATTAGACATTATCTGAAAGGTGCATTATTTTTCAGAGTATTTGTCACACTGGGTGAGAACTCAGTAACCTTTTAGAGTGACAGTTAGGCTCCACCAGCACATCCATTGTGTACCATAGATCTAAACCACAAAGATGAGCTCAGCTTTCATCAGCTGCTGATTGTCTGTAATTGAAACCATTTTGCTGAGTTTGTGCAGCCAACAGGATGTCCTTTAAAGATCTGGAAACATTTTTTCTTTTACATACTGTAAATAGAGAGGCTCCTATAGGCTGTTGTTGCAGCCTGGTACAGTTAGTTGTTGAAATAAGGTCATAGAACCTGCTGATGTTTTTTATGTTTTAAGTTTCTTTCTGCTTTTAAACATGATGCAGTTTCTATAAGTCATCTTATTAAAATTTCTGCTTCTGGTAGGAAAGTTTTGTACTTTAATTGACCATTTTTCTTTTTTTAACATTTGATAGGTGAGAGAAACAGATCCCAGAAGTTTGCTTCTGTCTTTCCAACAGCAGATTTGTTTTTCCTTATCAGCCGCTCTCTCTCGCGCCCTCAGCTCACCTCCCAGCCCCCATGAGAAGCTTATTTTGGCCCCTCAGCAGTTCTCCTTTTCAGAGCCTGTAGAGTTTTCCCAGCAGCACAGAGGCAGACGTTACAGAGGTTCATATATGCAGCAGACAACCTGAAAACTTTTTAATTCCATGTGGAACTGTAGTTTAAAGACTTATGAATGTTCTTCCTTAAGTTAAACATATCCTGAATTTGCCCAAATTTTTTTTCTTTTTTATTGTTTTGGGGTGTTTCATTGTTTCCCCACCATGCTTACCTCAGCAAATCGTTTCTCAACTCTGGCAGCTTGTTATCCCAGATGTTTCCATTGGCTTAAATACGTTAAGTAATATTTAAGATATTTGTTAAAGCTGTCAAATTTAAAAATTCCCTTGCCATTAGAAGTATTTAGCCTCGTACTAAATTTGACTTTTTGCATTTTTTTACACAAATCGTAAGAGCAAATATTAAAATATAGATTCCAAATGCTAGTTTCTTCACAGCAGTCGTGTACACATGATGTATTACGGGTTTATTTGCTTTTGTTTTACCTTTTATTATTTTTCCATTATCATTTAGAAGCAGCTCTCACAGCAGTTGCCTGTTTGGACCTATTGCACTATTTGCAAAGCAAATGACGTAATATAACAAAAATATTTGCAGACAAAACTTAGCCTCTGCTAACTGTATAAAATGAAATTATAAAACTGAATGAGGATGTACTTTTTGTGACATTTTTGAACATTTTTGTCCTCCAGGAAAGAAGAAACAAAATGAAATAAAATGTTCGCTAACTCTAACTCATTCACATTTTAGTTAATAAACTTTAACATTTGCGGCAGCCTCGGATGAAAAAAAGAATATTTAGCTTTACTATTTTGGTTTCCCCAACTTGCTGACTATATTGCATTTGATTATATATAAAGATTACCTCTATGCAGCATATATAAGCTATTTGGATTTTATTTTTCAAACTTTTTAACTCTGCTCATATTGTTTCTTTGATGTTTTAAGACTTTTGATTTTCTATTTCTTTTCCAGCGGTTTTATTCAACTCTTAACATTCAAAGTTTTCTTCACAGATTCAGTTTTTTTACTTTTCAAATAATGTAAAATTGGAACTTCTCAAACATTTTAAGGTTATATTTAAATCTTTTTTTTTTTTTTTTTTTTTTTTACAGGATTGTATTTTTTAAAGCAGATGTCCTTTTAGTTCATTGTGTATGGTTTTAACGCTCCTCTTTATTCCATACCCAGTGTGGGGTTTTTCTTTTTTGAGCGTGACTGTGATCAGTGTCTGCTCCCTCACCGGAGTTGCCATCGTACCTCTGATGAAGACGCATTGCATGAAACACGCGCTCACCTTTTTCATCGCACTTGCCATTGGCACCCTCTTCTCTACAGCCATCCTCCAGCTCCTTCCTGAGGTTTGCTCCCTGCCTGTATACACACATCTTCTACACCTTTCCCTTTGAGGACACTGATAGAAAAGCAGAAAAAGTGCATCTTAAGAATTTCTCGTGTTTTCAAGTTTGTCCAGTTTTGTACTTTAAAAATGTATTTTTTTCTTCTCCATGCTTTTGCTTCTTGAGGATACCTTTCATTATCTTTGATTAGCAATGAAATGCTTTTTGTATCATATATGTGTTTACATTAACATTGATCCAGTTTTGAGCAGAATTACAAAATGGTTTAACTCTAACCATAAACACAGCAGATCCCACAGTTACTGTTTATGAAAGAGACAGAAAGTTTATGTGTAACTTCAGTCTGGATTTTAAAAGGAAACAGCAGCCTGATGTTTATTTAATATGAACTTATCATCAGCAAGTGTGACGTCCTCTATAAAAACTCTAACACTGGCAGTTTACTGGTGTAGGGCCAAAGCAGAAAGACACCAGCAAGTAGAGATTTGCTTCCCATTATCCTGATAACGGTTCTAAGTTTATCTCAAACTATTTTAAAGTTCTCTATTTTGCAGTCGATGGAGCTGTAATCTTTAAAGATTATAGCTCCATCTTTTATGATTGGAGAGTTTCATAAGAATAAATCTCAAAATTTCTGGAACGATGTCCTTCAAACATATGAGCCCAAACACCACCCACTGTTAAGCTTGGTGGTGGAGGGGTAGTGATATGGGTTTGGTTGGCTTTAAATCAAGCATAAACTAAAAGTAGATTAAGGTCATTTGTTGGGGAAACATGGGGAAACTGGGAAACATAAGCATAAAGACGTGGAGATTACTGAATATTATCGCTGCTGAAGGTGATGAAGGCCTATTAAATCATAGGATTTACTCAGTTCTTTGATTTTTTTATTAAAAATGACAGATGGGATCTGCTGTTTTCTTCTTAAACACATTGTTAGATTTTTTTTAAATATATTTAAGAATCCAGTTAAGACTGGATGAACTTTATTCTTTCCTAATATAAACAGAAAGATGAAGCGTTTTCTCTTTACCACGACTATAAAACACATATAGATACATTAAGCCTTTTCAGTGCTGCTACTCTCATCTTCTTTGTGTGAGCAGTGTTTTTCCCGAGGCGGTCGCAGTCACACAAACTCACCTGAGTGGTTTGGAACATGTTTGTTTAGAATTTCCCTATAATCACTTCCTTTGTTGAGAAAATGAATGGATTTTAAAGTCTGCTTCACGTAAAGAGGAATCATTTCCTCTTGAAGAAGATTCTTACTTCTCTTAAACTTTTTTCCAGGCCTCCTGTCTGTGTAAAGAGTCTTTGTTCAATTCTCTCTCCTGCAGGGATCATTGGTTGCTGTCTAATTATTTTGCTTCTCAACCCGGTAATCAGTCTCATCAGATAATCAGAGCACTAACCACCTGTCTTTGTCTTTCCTTCCCTCTCCTTTCTGCTCCGTCGATCAGTGTGGGGTTATGGGATCCTGTGTGTGACACTGATCTCTCTGTGTTCACTGATCGGGGCCAGCGTGGTGCCCTTCATGAAGAAAACCTTTTACAAGCGACTGCTGCTCTACTTCATAGCCCTGGCCATTGGCACGCTGTACTCCAACGCCTTGTTTCAGCTCATCCCAGAGGTAGAGTTACTGCTTTCTGTGGCTCATAAAGCGGCAGTCTGAAACCTCAGGGCAAGGTTGTTTTCTAATTCTCCCTCCAAACACTCCTGGGTACTGATTTTACATAATTTCTTGGGTTTTTCCTGCTTCAACTGTTTCTGTTAAATACTTTTTTAAATTTGATCCCAAAGACAAACTTATAGTAATACTGGTTGAATGAAACAGATTTGTAGATGTTTATATAGAATTTCGTGTCATGGTTAAATTATTAGCATCTAAGCCGCTCCTTAATGTTAACACCTTAAGCTTGGATTTGAAGTTCCCGTAAACATGCATATCAACTAAATTACACACTAAAAGGACAATTTTAAGTAATTAGTTAGATACCATATTTTCCAGACTATAAGCCGCTACTTTTTGGCCATGTTTTGAACTATGAGGCTTATAAGAAGGTGCAGCTTTTCTGTGAATGTTCCTAACCACCAGAGGGGGAAGACAAAGTTGGAAATGAAAGAATAAGGGGCTAGCTTTCATTTAGCACAAGAACATGCTAACAGCATGCACGGTGGAAAAATAGATTTGACATTTATTTGCAGCATTAAAGCTGCCGAACCAATGAACAGACTGGGCTCAACTCCTGCAGAGCTGAAATAAAGAGCTGAGGACGCCCCACCTTTCAGTGGAAACTCTTACTGCTCTGAGTCAACAAGCTAACGGGAGCTAGCATTCTTCTTCATCCCTACTCCAGGGGCGATATGTAGAGCTCCCCTTACAGGTTTGGTGGGAGAAAGTTCAGCTGGTATCAGCGGCTATGTACGTTTCCAGTTTTTTCAAAAAATGTAGTGGGTTTATAGTGAGGTGCGCTCTATAGTCTGGAAAATATGGTAATAAAATGTTTCCATTTCCCAGGAATCACGTTTGGTTATTTAGGCTTAAATGCTATAATTTGCATCACAAATTTAGCCTGAGCTTATAGTAATACGAGTAATTAAGATTAACTCTGGCCTATTATATATGCACCAGTTGACATATGATCACAGCTGATAAAATATATCTAGATCTTTCTACTCTGCGTCAAATAAAAGGTGTGATTTGACACCATGGGCTTGTTTCAGCAGATATAAATCAGCTGGTTTAGAAATATTATTTCAAAATTAATCATATATCATTTACAGTTTAGATTTAGTAAAATCTGAGAGATGTGAAACTGTACACCTAAATAAAGCTGGTGAACTAATCAACTATAATAAAATAGGCTATTATCTCAAAAAGAAACACATCTTCCCCTGATCTAAAGAACTAACAGGGGCCTGGACTCTCTGGGCATCACAATCTAAAGCAATGACTCAAAAACAGGAAAGAGAAAATGGCATCATTGCAGTGGATCTATTACCAAAGCCACTGTTGAACAAAAGGAGCTGAAAGGCCCATCTCTCTTTTAGCAGGAAATATCTTGATCTTGATTTTCTCTTCATTGATGAGAAAGCCCTTTGTAGAATGTCCCGCCTCAGTTTGGGGCCAGGTTCCTCATAAAATCAAGATTCAAAAACAGTTTTTATATTTACGCAGGTTCTCTTTACTTTGATGTAAAACGTTACCATTCTGATTATAGAATATATGTCAATCAAAGGATCATTAGGTAAGAATAGGAGTCGTGTTAACACAGTCTGGTAGTAAATGGCTTAGAGTAGATGCTAAACTAGTGCAGATAAGCATCTCAGAACATCTCTGAAGGCGTTCTGATCTAAGCCATCTCTAATCTGTCTTTAGCACGTTCACACCAGTGTTTAACAGGGCCTGGGTGTGATCGGACCACCTAGGAAGGATGGTAGTGCCAGGTCTGAGAAAAGATGTGATAAACAAGTATGAGTTTGAAGACAGCAAATCCTTGAAATGTTACTTTTGTAGATAAAAACAGGTTTGCATTAAATGAAGGTCAACAGAACATTTTAGAGATTGCTTAACACTCTGAATGTGTTCTCTTTTTGTGTGAAGCTTTAAAGCCCCTTTAATGAGCTGGCATGGTGAAGCTTTTAATCTGCTCTAAGCCCAGCTTGGAGTGTAAAATGAAGCAGCTAACAGTTTTAAGTTTGCAGGTAAAAAAAAAATCTACTGTTAGGCTTAAAATTATTCAACCCCCTGGCAGATTTAGACATTTAGATTAAGCTACTTTAACCCAGAAAATGAGGCTGGCAGCATTTATAAAATTATGTAAAAAGGGGTATATTTTCTTTTTATCCATATTTTTATCTTATTTATCTTTTATAATATAATGGTATAATGGTAACTGAGAGTTCTCAATAATTACTCTTTAATTGACCTTACAGCAGTGAAACTTTTCCACTAATTTCTAACCAGATTTTTGCCTGATTCCTCTTTTGTTTTAGAGGTTGGATGGCCTTCTTACCATCACCCTAATCCACACTTCCTCTCACGTATGAGGAAGTCACGTATTAGTGTGAAAATCAAATTAATGAAAGTCCCAAATTAAAAATACTACTTAAAACCTAAATCTGCCAGATGTTTGAATGCCTTTGGTCTTAACTATAATTCCTGCTACTTTTGGCTTCAGACTATTTCCTAAGGCACTCATTCAGGTCGGCTCGCTGGGTGTGGATTATAATCCAGATGCTTCGAAACAATTTCTGCAAACATCCAGCATTACGGTGATAAAAGCTCCTGAAACAAGCAGTGGTGTAAGTCCTCTGAAAAAAATATCCACCTTTAAGCTCAAAGGTCTTTGTTGGAAGTCTCCCGCCACATGCAGCAGACGGATGAGTCACGGGTTAATTGCAGCTTTGATCCTCCCTTAATATGATGCAGCTTTAAAAGATTTGGAGTCTTCTGATCAATGAAACTAAATGTAATGCAATAAAAAGGTGTTCAGCACCTTTAAGATATGACACTAACAGGGATAAAAATGGAAAATATAAAAGAAATAGAAAATGAAGCTAAAAACAACCTGAGCACTGAAGTTAACCAGAAAACTAATAAGCAAAGCATAACAGTAATGATCCGTAGGCTGTTTACAGCTTCTACTACTGATGAATGTCACACTAACATACTCCTCTCTCTGCCCTGGTAGGCCTTTGGTTTTGACCCCATGGTGGACTTTTATGTATCCAAATCCGCTGTGGTCTTCGGAGGCTTCTACCTCTTCTTCTTCACAGAAAAGGTTCTCAAGGTTCTCCTGAAACAAAGGCAAGGGGTGAGTTTAAACCCACCATGATAAGGTGCTGCTGTTACTCCATAACTGTGTTTGATAGCGTTAAATTAAATGGTCCATGAGACTGTGAAGAGTATGCAGCCTTTAAATAAAAGTGTACATACGTATGGTTCAATAACTAACCAGGCAAAACTTTTCCTGTTTTACGTCTGTATGGTTGGTCAAAATATTTTCACTTTGTTAATTCCCTAAAATAATGAGACATATTTTGTTTGGCTGTGACTCCATCCTGGAGATATACATCAGCTGTGCCACTGCCATCAACACCTTTGTCTATAGATGTTGGAGCTTGGCCTGTTTTTCAGAATAGTCCTGTTTGTCTGACTGTGACTGGCTGGATGTGCTCACTTCATCCTCTGACATGGGAGCTGGCTCGGAGCACACCTGCCTGGCTGTGTGTTTCCTGGACGGGGTCACCTTTAGAGCTGGTTTACAGTTGCCTTTTGTATCCCTGCTTCTTTTTCTATGTCTGCTTCTGTTTCCTTGAACCCCATTCGGCCTCGGCAAATGGCCGTTCCACTGAGCCTGATTCTGCTGGAGGTTTCTTCCTGTTAAAATGGAGTTTTTCCTCTCCACTGTCGCTACAAGCATGCTCACTGTGAGGAATTGCCTTTGAGTCAATGAGTCGATGTAATCACCTGGTTTTTCTTAGATAGAAAACTTTGAATCTATTTGAATGAATGATCTGGTTGAATTGTACAGTGCCTTGAGATGACGTGTTTTGAATTGGCGCTATACAAATAAACTGAATTGAATTGAACATCTTAAAAGACACATTGCAACAAAATTCTCATACATTTAATTAGTCTTAGCATAGGATGCTTGGTACTAGTTTTGCCCTTTTACTGTATGGGTTTGTTCACACGTATTAATTTATTTTAACAAGCTTCTCACAGTTTTTCACTTGAATCTGGACCCATTTGTTTCCTATGGAACGTGAGAAACTGACCGAGGTTTGTAAGCGGCCTCATTGCCACATATTCTGTACTTTCACATCAGCTCTGTTGTTTTTAAGCTACTTGTAGCTAATTAAATGTTATGTTTGGTATTCTTAAGGTCATTTGCTGGTTCTACATGGTTGAAGGGTTGTTGCTTCAATATCTCCACATCAGCATCCTCATAAAATCCCAATAAAATGCATTAAAATGTTGTTGAAATATAACAAATTGGGAAAATACATCTAAGATTAATAAATATCTTTACAGAGCTCTGAGTTTTTAATGCATATATGGCTTTTCCAGATTTGTATTTACTGGACAAAACTGTCACTTCGGCCGACATTTACCCCTAGGGCCATTAGGCCGCCTAACCAAACACCTTGAACTTTCTCGTTCTGCGTCAGGTTTGACTTGTACGATGAGATGTTTGCTTTACACGAACTGATGTGGTTCAGGCTGTTTAGTTTGCTTTTGTTTAATTTGGGCGTTGCACAATCTTTCCACATGATTCAAAGCCTAATGTGGTGAATCATTGATCATAATGTTAATAAAAAATGCTCTAATCCTCCTGACAAAGGTTCCCTCCTTTAATTTATTTTTGTCTCAGCTTTATATTGTTTGTTTAGCCCAGAATAATTGTGATTGATTATAGGCGTATTTGGCTTTGTTTTAGTCTTTCTTACTTATAACCTGTGAGATAGAGAAAGTAGACAGTATTATATCATTCACAAAAATTGAGCAGAACCAAAGATAATCAGCACAGTGCTGCCATCTAGTGGTTGCTCTGTTCAAAGGAATTTGGTCTGACTGTTAAAGTAGCAAGTAAACCCTGAATCTTTATTTCAGGAATCAGTTACCTAAAATAATGTTCAATGTTAAAAATGGGCCTTAATATTCTCAAAAATATATTAAATCAAAAATAAAAGTAGCCTTTGTTAAAACTTTCCATTAGATTATATTCCTGCTTTTAAATAAAGGGATGCTTTAGGGCTGTTTTTCTCCTAAAGCCCTTAGTGAACCTTTTATGATTAAATCATAAAATCTTTAAGAAAAATAAATAAATTAATATTTAAAAATATATAACTTAAAAAACAAAACAAAACAAACAAACAAAAAAAAATTGTCTGAAAAAATTGGTTGAAATGAACATGGAACTGGTTCATCTGACAAAACATCTACTGCAATCTGAGATAAAACCTGGGATATGGGAGCATAAGAGAAAAGCTCTGAGCAATCCAGAGGAATTTTGTTAATATCAGAATCAACTTTCTGTGTGCTCCGGGATTTGATTAATCTCTGGATCCACTCCAGAAGGTTGGAACAACTCTGCAAAACCTTATTGTAAAATGGATTTATTCACAGGCATCCTACGTTTCTATTTAATGAATGTGGAATCTATAAGATTTTGTGCTCCTCAATAGCTTTTACAGTTTTTGATTTAATAATCGGTGATAATCTTTTGTTTTTTGTTTTCATATTTTCGATCCCAGAGCCACGGCCATAGTCACTACAGCGGTGCAGACCGCTACTCATCACCTGACAGAGATGCAGAGGAGGGGGAGAAAGAGAAGCTGCAGCAGAATGGAGAATCCAACAGTCTGACTCAGGGAAAAGTGGACGACGCTGGGGAGGGAGAGCTCATGCTCCACCCCGCACAGACACCGCAGGTGAGATTTACCTGTAAAACTGAGAGGTTATTTTATTTTGTTATAGAGTTTAAAGTCTCTTGTAATATGGGTCCAGACACATGAAAAAGGTTTCCTGTTTTACAAGCTTGTTTGGAAAGTTTCAGATCATTACACAAGATTTACATAAAATAAAATAAAAAGTTTTCAGAATGTATTGATTAAGGAAAATGAACTAATCAAATCAGCCTGGGCCTATTTGGAGAAGGCAATCACCCTCCACACATAATATCCTCTTTGATTCAGTATTTATTTTTACTTCAGATGAGTTACATAATTTTGTAGAAATTTAGACCACATAGTTTTTTGACTAGGCTGCACAAAAACCTTTATTTTATTCAGTGTATTATTCTATTCACAGGTGAATCCTTTTTTTTTGTCTGAACTAAAGAACCATTGATCTTAAGGTCACAAACTGATGCTCTGACATTTTCTGCTTAATGTTTAGAATTACGTTACAGTAAGTTGTCCTAAATCAGCCCCCAGCCATCACCACCACTACCGTGTTGCTTTGATAACTTCTTGTTTTCATAATGATTCCTTCTTGTTTTTAATGAGGTGGGTATATTTTCACAGGACCAGGTTTGTTTGAACAGCTTTTTACCTCAATTTAGGAAAATCATCTAAAAACGGTGTTTTTTGGATTTCCTCAGGTTGCCTTTAAACACTAAAGTTTGTTTAAATCTCTAAAAGCTTTTTTTTGTTTGTTTGTTTGACAAAAAGCAACGACAGCAGGATTGAGAATGAAGGTCCATCCTTCTGCTCTGTCTTAAAGTCGTCTCCTTTGTCTCTCCTTCTGTTCCAGGAGTCTCAGAGTCCAGATAACGGAGCCCGTTCAGGTGGCGGCTGCTATTGGCTGAAAGGAACCACCTACTCTGACATCGGCACACTGGCCTGGATGATAACGCTGAGTGACGGTTTGCACAACTTTATCGATGGCTTAGCTATCGGTGCCTCCTTCACCGCCTCAGTATTCCAGGGCATCAGCACCTCCGTGGCCATCCTTTGTGAGGAGTTCCCTCATGAGCTCGGTAAGTTTGGCAAACATGGAGCCGTCAGAGGCTTTGCAGGTGGAGAGTGAGGATCAGAACATAGACAATGATAGGCCATGTTGTCAGGGGTGTTTAGCTGATTCTGTTTTTCCCCTTCAGGTGACTTTGTGATCCTTCTAAACGCTGGTATGAGCATACAGCAGGCCTTGTTCTTTAACTTCCTGTCAGCCTGTTGTTGCTACCTGGGTATGGGATTTGGCATCCTGGCCGGTAACAGTTTCTCTCCCAACTGGATCTTTGCTCTGGCTGGAGGAATGTTCCTCTACATCGCTCTGGCAGACATGGTGAGTTAACCCAGATGCTAATTCGTTTCTTTTTTTCCTGATGTGTTTGGAATCATTCTCTTTTTTAATGACCCAGTTGGGGGCATCCTTTAAATGTCAGAAAGATGGCCTCATATCTCAGTTTACAGACGGAACTCTTACCTCAGTGCCTCCAGGTTGTCAGCCTGTAAAAGAAGCCCATATCATTACCCCTCCACCTTCATAGCTGACAGTCTGAGCAGTTTGTGCTGATAGATTTTGTTTTCTTTAAGCAGTGCAGCCAAACATCTTCACATTGTTTTGTTTTTTCTCCAATTTCTCCAAATATTCCCTATCTTTAAATGCTTTCTGTTGTTTTTAACCATTTATTAAAATGAGACATATGTCAGTAGAGAGACCCCTAGATCCTACAGAGCAGTGGGTCCTGAGTACCAGAGTTCAGCACCTCTGCTCTGCTCTAAGATGTTCGGTTTCCGCCACACCTTTGTGCTTACACACATCTTTAAGGTAAAGAGCAGCAAAATGTCCAAAATCCTACCTTTATAGATGAGTTGATGTGCAATGCATTACTTTGCTTTTGCCTGCAGGGGCGTTTCTTTACCATTTGATTAAACGTAGTATGTGCTTGTTAATTTACTCTTTATCCAATTTTAATTTGGTCAGTATTCATTTTCTTTTCTTTTGTAAGTGAATAATCTTCAATCTTTTTTAGGACAAATCAAGCGGAACAGCCATACATGGATTGGTCTTTACACCTAATCAAAACAATGTTGTTCTTTTTCAGTTTCCGGAGATGAACGAGGTGAGTCGTGAGGAAGAGGACGCAGGCGGCAGCAGGTTCCTCATCACCTTCGGCATCCAGAACGCAGGACTTCTGACGGGCTTCGCCATCATGCTCCTCCTCACCACGTATTCAGGGCACATACAGCTGGGCTAGCAGCGGACTCTTTGCTGCGGAGCGGGATCTGGTGATAGAAACTGGAGAAGCTTGACTGTGCGGCAGGAACGCACAGTCCAGTATTTAAAAGAACTGACTGTTTGATTATGTGCAGCTCTAACATGCAGTAAATTTCAGACCCATCTGTCCCTCTTTTTCTCCGACCTTTCCTTCCTTTTTAAAATCATCACCTGAATTGGTCAGTGTGTGGTTCTCCTTTTCCTTTAATAGGCTTTTAATTCCTCTGAATAGTCATTAGGTTTCACCTTTTGACTCCTTTATTCTTACCGGCTTGGATGTTAAACTGCCTGAGCTGGCATCAGACTCATCATACCCATTATCCCTTATAGATGCAGATCAAGATAAAAGCTGCTATGAATCTATTTTTTCTCTCCTTCATTTTTCACCATTAATACCAAAAAGCACAGATCTGGAACTGGAACAATTCCTCATAAACTTACTTCCATTTCAGCTTGTTTTGTCTGTGTTGAGTTAAAGTTTAACGACACTTGATGTGAAACTGACTTTTAAAGACCAAACACGTTCGGTGAAGGGCTACACAGTGATTCATTGTGTGGTATGGAGTTGTCTTCATCCTCTTTATGCATTTTCTGAATAATCTTTCATCATGAAGATGCTGTTTAATGTTTTCATTTTTTTTCCAGAAGGGATGCAGCACCCCTGCAGCAGCATTTCTCTGTAGTTTACCATCTGTGCCCTTCATTTATATAACTGTGAGTAGTTTGTTGTTGTTTTTTGCCGATTATGCATATTCAGATGTTCTGTTATTTTATTGCTGACCACATCTTTAACTAACATCCCCAACTGGCAGAACTTCATGGTCTGTATGTGCAACAAACCTGTGGTATGGCTGTTTCTAAGTGACAATCCTGACTGGACTAAACACTCATTATTACAAGTGTGAGGACTGAACACCTTCCATAGATATTAGATTGTTTTAAAACAGTATATTTAACTACTAATGTCCAAATAATCAACAGCGATTACAAAAGGGCAAAATAACACCCTTTCTCTATTCTCTAAAGTTTGGATGAAGTTATTTTCTGCATAGAAAGAAGAAATTCCTACCTATTCCCCCCAAATATTTCGCCTGCTTGAGCCCAAAGATGGACCATATTAAAAAATAGCAAGGCTTTGCTAATTGGGTCGACATTTTTATTAAAAGAACCAAATTATCACGGCTTTGAACCTCTTGGTTGATTAAAAGCAAAGCCTTTTGTTTCAGAGGGAGAGATTTAAACTGGAGGGTTCACATCTGCCCTAAGTGAAAAATGAATCTTATTATGTAACCTCACAGATGCAGGATGGGACAAGAAGGGAATACCTGATGATTTTAATGTTCCAGAGCTCCAGCGTCACAGAAACAGCACTGAAGCTAACTGAGGAGTGGCCGTCCTCCGTAGTACAAAACCCGCTGTCGTCAGAAATTCACTGCGCACATGTTTCAAGCACTACTGTATAAAAACTGAGTTTTAGATTTTGTGATTGATGCAGGACAGTTTATGACACTGTGATCCAGTGGGTTAAAACAGAAATGATTCTTCAGGAAAGACTCAGTCACCCAGCCATCTGTTACACTTTTGACAGATCCCACCCCAACTCATCAGGCTTTTATTTGAAAGGAATTATCACAATCGCACCATTTCCAAATTTTAGGGTCCCCAAGAAACCACAGAATATCCTCTAGATATTATCTACACCTATCCTCTAGGTAGATAGGTGACTGGTTATGTTTTTAATAAGCCGACAGCTGGACAAAAAGAGTTCTGATGTTTCATGGAACCTTAATGGTCTTGAAGCCATCCTGAAAAGTACTGTATAGGTGTCATATTGGTGACTTCTTCTGGCTTGAAATAAGTCCTTCTCTAAAGGCCGCTTCAGCCCGAGATATACCACATTTTGATCGTATTTGTACCCCGGAATATTAGGTCCATATTAAGAGATGCGTCTTTTCTCATTTCAAAAAGAAGTTCTAATAAACTCCTAATATTAAGAGAATAATGGTATAAGAGTTTTAATGAAGAGAACTGAGATCTGCAACCTAAACCATGCATTTTAATGCATGGGAATACTGACCCCAGTTCAAATTAAAGTACTTCTTTATTACAGCTTAAATGTTGTAACACCGTTCATTTTCTTATATCATTACTTCATTCTTATTATATAACTTTTTTTTTGTACGATTATGTCTTTATTCTCACATTCTTGCTATTTTCTCGCAAACCTATTATTTTATTACTTTATTTTGGTAATATTAACGCTTTTTTTCTAGTAATGTTATCACTTTAACCTTGTAGACATAAAATTAGGACTTTAATAATAAGGATGGCTTTATTTTTACAATTAAAAATCTCTTTATATGGCCCCAATACTCTGTCATGTTTGTGGCTATTTTAATCCTCTAAGGGGGTCATATTAAATTAATTTTAAGTAGTATGGGATTAACTCCAGAATTGGGAAATAAATAAGTGGAATTATCATTGATTTCAGCGTATCACAGCTTAAAAGAACAAGTGAAAAAGTAAACGGTTCAGCTTATTCCTTTTTAAAAAAAATCAGTTTATAGATTAAAATCAATTAATGATGACTAATTGAATTATTCATCATGGGAACATGATCTGTTCAGTGCTGCTGTAGAAAATGATTCGCGGTTTGGTGCGTCGCTGTCCCTTTAAACATGCTGAGATGATCAGAAATAGAGTGTGCAGATTTCTCCAACATAGCCAGAGTGATCGGGGGTCAGATCCAGCATACCTTTCCCTTCGATCCATTCCCTCTTTTTCATTTTGTCAGAAACTTCAATCATTTCCTGGAAAGACATTTTAAAAACATAGTATGGCAGAATCACTGGTGTATGATGAAGTGATGAGTGGGACTATTTATTATTTGTTTTACGCCATGAAGTATTTATTTAATACTTTACACTCCAAGCCATGGTGACCTATTTGTTTTGTTTGTTGTTTGGCTTTGCTTTATTTTCTTGTTTGTTAAAGAAGGGGGGAACTGAGTCGTACATCATGAAACCTCACTGCATCCCATATTTTGACTGTATATTAAAACTATACTGAAAACAGAGCATAAGAACACACTAAGACAATATATATATGGATCATTTTCAAAGTATTGTATGCAATGTTGTTTATCGTTAGACTTCTCTGTCATGGCAAACGTTTTATAAACATTATTTTTTATGAAAGTCATGTATCTGTGTCCTCATTGTGTCTCGCTTCTGATCTGACAAAATGTTTTTTTCATTTAACCAAGAAATTTGTTTGAGACTGAAAATATGACTGATGAGGATGTTTAGATGTGTATTTAATTTAGAAATAAATGAATAAATTGTTATATCATCCTCAATTATTACATTATTTTTAATGAACTTGTCCGTTTTAAAATATTTTCAAAATATATTCTTAATTTTAGATTAGATTTTTATTTGTAAAGCAAAGTTGAGAGAAAAAAAGATATTAAAAAAGGGAGAAATATGGAGGAAATGTATAAAGACGTCTATTGGTGTGTAATCTGCATCAAAGTGAACTCGTTGAGCATCTCCAACACTGGAAAAAAACGGTCTAGAAATAAGTCAACATTTCTTTAACAAAGTGTATTTATCCTTAATTTGAATAGGTAAATTAGATGATTTGCCAATGGATGTAGTATTTTTACTACATAAGATGCACAATTTTTTTTCCCTTATTTTAAACGCAAATTGTCTTGTTTCATTTGCAAAGTGGCCCACTTACCTGCTCAATTCAAGAAAAACTTATTTTAAGAAAAAAATATTTAGATTTCATTTTTTTCCAGTGAACACAGAAAGGTAAAATATATCCTAGATTAATAATCCCAGGAAAACCGAAACCCCTCTGAGGAACTAAGGCCTGAGCAGCTGACCCATAACCCGGCATCTTATCCTTGCCTGTCCATCTCCTCCTATCGAACAGTTGTCAACTCCAGTCCCTCAGGGCGAGTGTCCTGCTTCTAGAGGTCTCTCTACAGATCAGAAATTGACAATTACATCAACCACAGAACTCTCTAGAGCCTAGAATTTCAGTAAATGAGGAGGTAATTAATAATACGGCTCAGATGTGTTGGACTCAGACACATTTAGCAGCTAATTAATTATTATAAGCAGTAGTAGTTGCAGCAGTATAATAATCTTTTTTTTTTTTTTTTTTTATAAATCTTATACAGCATTCAAACTACAAGAAAGTGACAAACTGATATTGCAGACAGACCCACACAGATCCACAGTGTGTGAGAAATGATTAACAGAAAAAAACAAAACATTTATTTATAAGCAGCATTAGGTGTGTGGTGGTATAATATTCTTCTCTTTGTTGTTCTTATTGCAATATATATGCTTATATATATATAAATTGAGATTTAGAGCACTTTGTTTAAGTTTTCATGAATTGATGCATGTCCCAAGCAGGTTTCGACCTGGCTATTTTCTCCCCCTCCTTTCCTCCTCCTTCAGCCCCTTCTGCAGACTATTGTTCCCCAGCTAAGCCACCAGTTGTGCACACAGGAAGTCCTTGGTTCAAATCCCCACTGGAGCAAATGAGTTGCCAGTGTGGGTCATTAGGCATGACCCTTCATGCTAACGCCTACTTGGTAAATTGCTTCAGATAAAAGCATCTGCTAAATGCAGAAACAAATTTAAGGATTGGAGTTTGAGGCACACAAAACACAAATCAGAGCACAAACTTGATTTCCAAGAATATGGTCTAAAACTAAACCTAACGTGCCAATAAGTCGACAGTTTCAGGATTAAAAAAAAAGCCAAACTTCTTTGGGCCTTAGGGTCAACATTTGGTAGGAGCCTTCTTCAAACAGCAGAGGTCTCACAGTCTCTGAGGGCCACACTTCTGTGACTTTGGTTGCTTCACTGGTAAAACACACCTGGTTGCATACTGATGGATTCTGCTAAGGAGCCAAAGATTGAAGTCAGGTCTGTTGAAGCAGATGTTGCTGTTGCTCTAGAGCTAAACTTCACAATAACAAGTATCAGAGAAGACCAATACAAAACAAATAAAGTACTTCGGCAAATCCAGAAATCAATAGAGAGATTGTACAAATAAATGGTCTCCAAGGGTTTAACTTTGTTATTAAAGTTGTTAGGGACGCTATTACATGGGTGGGTTCTGCAGCTCCTGGACCTGAAGGCTTCCGTTAGGTTTTGATATTTTGCTAAAAATGAGCTCCAACATAAATTGCCAACATGCAATTGCCATGTCTATTTAATGCTTTCCTGTTGTTGAGAAGGCAACAGTTACAAAATACACTAATATCTAAAATTACAGATAAACAGAAACACTTAAGTGCCTCTTTTATAAAGTGCTCAAAATCATGAACATTAATAAAAAAATTATATATATATAAAAAAAAGAAATAGCAGCAGCTGATACTGATGTCAACGACGATATATCGGGCATCCCTGCATATAATGTCATATATATATAAAATTATATATATGCAGGGATGTATATAATTTCAAATAGAAAAAAGCTATCTATCCATCCATTCTGTAATAAGACTGAAAAGTTACTAAAACTAACAAAGACTGCAAATTAGGATTCCCAGACATACATACATATTACATCCCAGATAGATGCATGGTCTTCATTTCATCTGTATCATTTTTTATTTCATTTTTAATTACCACTCCCCTTCAAAAGCAGCTAAATCTAATTTAGAGTTTTTTCCCCACACATATCTTTGACAAAGTAAAATTGAATATTGAGGGTTATTTTTCATTTTATTGTTTGTGGTTTGAATCTTGTAGGTTTCTTAAATTTAGAGTCTCTCCCGACTTCAAGTCTGGCTCTGCAACTTGGTTTTACTGGTACAGCTATTTCTGCGTCTTGCTGATTTACAAAAGACAAAAGTAAAACATTACAACGTTTTTCTTGTAAAATATTTCCCAGATTTTATTGCATGTTGTTGCATATCCCAGTAAATCTGTCCCAGTAAATCCGTGTGTGCTCTGCTGAAAACACATGGCCTTAAGATATCGACTAATGTAATGATGCTAGAGAAACTAATATTCAAGTCACCTCTGTATAACTTTAAAATCTCAATAGGGATCTGGTACATTTCTGTTAAATAAGAAAACGATAAATATGAGTTAGTTTTTGCCTGTAACTTTGAGTCATGGACTCAGTCATCTGAGGAGCGGAGCAGCTTTTTTTTGTCAAATGAATGTTTTGTCAAAGTTATTGCCTTATAATACTAACCTGGATATCACAATCACTCTTTTGCCGTTAATGTTTTTCTAAAGCTTTTAAATGTAAGCTCCGTGTTTATACCTTGAAGCATTACCCACCAGGCTCACTTCCCGTGAAGCTGCTCCAATAAACAGTAAGAGAACTCCAGTCTGTAACATCATCACATCATACACATTTGCAGATGAGGAGACGTCCCTGCCTCCAGCTTATCAAAATATTACACTTTGTTTTTAAATAAAGAAAATTGTTCTGATTCCATCCCCAAATCTTTGCCATATGCAGAATGAAGATGGTAGCTGTATATCCTGACAAAGATTCATGAAGTGCATAACATAACAGTCAGTTTGGTGTTTGTGCTGCTGCCCGCACCCGATCCATCTGGTCATACATGTGGTTGATGACACTCCTGGTGACAATGTCCCTACTGTCCACCGGTACCTTCCTCAGCAAGTCCGCTATGAAAACCCCAAAGGACGAGCAGTCATCCTGCTGCAGACCCTGTTGAAGCATCTGCCGTCTTTCAGTCAGTTGCTCCAAACGTGCCTGAACTCCCTGCTCATCTGTGTGCTGGTGCTTGGTCTGGCTGGCACACAGGCTCTCCAGGGTCCGGGTGGGCGAAGGTGGATTAGAGCTGAGCTCGGCGGTCGTATCTGAGCTTAGACCACAGGTGGGATCCGGGTCCTGCGTCATCTGTGTCTGTAAGCAAAAGCAAATCAACAGTTGGTCACTGTACAGATCATGCTCCAGCGTACATGTGTAGAATAGCACCAATGCACAAGCACCATTTAGTGCATTATAGACATATGCAGCATCTACATATGCATTAAAGACATATGCAGCATCTACATATGCATTAAAGACATATGCATTATAGACATATGCAGCATCTACATATGCATTAAAGACATATGCAGCATCTACATATGCATTAAAGACATATGCATTATAGACATATGCAGCATCTACATATGCAACATAGACATATGCAGCATCTACATATGCATTATAGACATATGCAGCATCTACATATGCATTAAAGACATATGCAGCATCTACATATGCATTAAAGACATATGCAGCATCTACATATGCATTAAAGACATATGCATTATAGACATGTGCAACATCTACATATGCAACAGACATATGCATTAAAGACATATGCATTATAGATACACTATATTGCCAAAAGTATTTGCTCACCCATCCAAATTATTGGAATCAGGTGTTCCAATCACTTCCATGGCCACAGGTGTATAAATTCAAGCACCTAGGCATGCAGACTGTTTTTACAAACATTTGTGAAAGAATGGGTCGCTCTCAGGAGCTCAGTGAATTCCAGCGTGGAACTGTGATAGGATGCCACCTGTGCAACAAATCCAGTCGTGAAATTTCCTCGCTCCTAAATATTCCACAGTCAACTGTCAGCTGTATTATAAGAAAATGGAAGTGTTTGGGAACGACAGCAACTCAGCCACGAAGTGGTAGGCCACGTAAACTGACGGAGCGGGGTCAGCGGATGCTGACGCGCATAGTGCGAAGAGGTCGCCAACTTTCTGCAGAGTCAATCACTACAGACCTCCAAACTTCATGTGGCCTTCAGATTAGCTCAAGAACAGTGCGCAGAGAGCTTCATGGAATGGGTTTCCATGGTCGAGCAGCTGCATCCAAGCCATACATCACCAAGTGCAATGCAAAGCGTCGGATGCGGTGGTGTAAAGCACGCCGCCACTGGACTCTAGAGCAGTGGAGACGCGTTCTCTGGAGTGACGAATCGCGCTTCTCCATCTGGCAATCTGATGGACGGGTCTGGGTTTGGCGGTTGCCAGGAGAACGGTACTTGTCTGACTGCATTGTGCCAAGTGTAAAGTTTGGTGGAGGGGGGATTATGGTGTGGGGTTGTTTTTCAGGAGCTGGGCTTGGCCCCTTAGTTCCAGTGAAAGGAACTCTGAATGCTTCAGCATACCAAGACATTTTGGACAATTCCATGCTCCCAACTTTGTGGGAACAGTTTGGAGCTGGCCCCTTCCTCTTCCAACATGACTGTGCACCAGTGCACAAAGCAAGGTCCATAAAGACATGGATGACAGAGTCTGGTGTGGATGAACTTGACTGGCCTGCACAGAGTCCTGACCTCAACCCGATAGAACACCTTTGGGATGAATTAGAGCGGAGACTGAGAGCCAGGCCTTCTCGTCCAACATCAGTGTGCGACCTCACAAATGCGCTTCTGGAAGAATGGTCAAAAATTCCCATAAACACACTCCTAAACCTTGTGGACAGCCTTCCCAGAAGAGTTGAAGCTGTTCTAGCTGCAAAGGGTGGACCGACGTCATATTGAACCCTATGGATTAGGAACGGGATGTCACTTAAGCTCATATGTGAGTCAAGGCAGGTGAGCAAATACTTTTGGCAATATAGTGTATATGCAGCATCTACATATGCAACATAGACATATGCATTATAGACATGCAGCATCTACATATGCATTATAGACATATGCAGCATTTACATATGCAACATAGACATATGCAGCATCTACATATGCAACATAGACATATGCAGCATCTACATATGCAACATAGACATATGCAGCATCTACATATGCAACATAGACATATGCAGCATCTACATATGCAACATAGATATATGCAGCATCTACATATGCAACATAGACATATGCATTATAGACATATGCAGAATCTACATATGCATTAAAGACATATGCAGCATATACATATGCATTAAAGACATATGCATTATAGACATATGCAGCATATACATATGCATTAAAGACATATGCATTATAGACATATGCAGCATATACATATGCATTAAAGACATATGCATTATAGACATATGCAGCATATACATATGCATTAAAGACATATGCATTATAGACATGTGCAGCATCTACATATGCAACATAGACATATGCATTAAAGACATATGCATTATAGATATATGCAGCATCTACATATGCAACATAGACATATGCATTATAGACATGCAGCATCTACATATGCATTATAGACATATGCAGCATTTACATATGCAACATAGACATATGCAGCATCTACATATGCAACATAGACATATGCAGCATCTACATATGCAACATAGACATATGCATTATAGATATATGCAGCATCTACATATGCAACATAGACATATGCATTATAGACATATGCAGAATCTACATATGCATTATAGACATGTGCAGCATCTACATATGCAACATAGACATATGCATTAAAGACATATGCATTATAGATATATGCAGCATCTACATATGCAACATAGACATATGCATTATAGACATGCAGCATCTACATATGCATTATAGACATATGCAGCATTTACATATGCAACATAGACATATGCAGCATCTACATATGCAACATAGACATATGCAGAATCTATATATGCATTATAGACATATGCAGCATCTACATATGCAACATAGACATATGCAGCATCTACATATGCAACATAGATATATGCAGCATCTACATATGCAACATAGACATATGCAGCATCTACATATGCAACATAGATATATGCATTAGAGACATATGCAGCATCTACATATGCATTAAAGACATATGCATTATAGACATGTGCAACATCTACATATGCAACAGACATATGCATTAAAGACATATGCATTATAGATATATGCAGCATCTACATATGCAACATAGACATATGCATTATAGACATGCAGCATCTACATATGCATTATAGACATATGCAGCATTTACATATGCAACATAGACATATGCAGCATCTACATATGCAACATAGACATATGCAGCATCTACATATGCAACATAGACATATGCAGCATCTACATATGCAACATAGACATATGCATTATAGATATATGCAGCATCTACATATGCAACATAGACATATGCATTATAGACATATGCAGAATCTACATATGCATTAAAGACATATGCAGCATCTACATATGCATTAAAGACATATGCATTATAGACATGTGCAGCATCTACATATGCAACATAGACATATGCATTAAAGACATATGCATTATAGATATATGCAGCATCTACATATGCAACATAGACATATGCATTATAGACATGCAGCATCTACATATGCATTATAGACATATGCAGCATTTACATATGCAACATAGACATATGCAGCATCTACATATGCAACATAGACATATGCAGCATCTACATATGCAACATAGACATATGCATTATAGATATATGCAGCATCTACATATGCAACATAGACATATGCATTATAGACATATGCAGAATCTACATATGCATTAAAGACATATGCAGCATCTACATATGCATTAAAGACATATGCATTATAGACATGTGCAGCATCTACATATGCAACATAGACATATGCATTAAAGACATATGCATTATAGATATATGCAGCATCTACATATGCAACATAGACATATGCATTATAGACATGCAGCATCTACATATGCATTATAGACATATGCAGCATTTACATATGCAACATAGACATATGCAGCATCTACATATGCAACATAGACATATGCAGAATCTATATATGCATTATAGACATATGCAGCATCTACATATGCAACATAGACATATGCAGCATCTACATATGCAACATAGATATATGCAGCATCTACATATGCAACATAGATATATGCATTAGAGACATATGCAGAATCTACATATGAAACATAGACATATGCAGCATCTACATATGCAACATAGATATATGCAGCATCTACATATGCAACATAGACATATGCATTATAGATATATGCAGAATCTACATATGCATTATAGACATATGCAGCATCTACATATGCAACATAGACATATGCAGCATCTACATATGCAACATAGACATATGCAGCATCTACATATGCAACATAGACATATGCAGCATCTACATATGCAACATAGACATATGCATTATAGATATATGCAGCATCTACATATGCAACATAGACATATGCATTATAGACATATGCAGAATCTACATATGCAACATAGACATATGCATTATAGATATATGCAGCATCTACATATGCAACATAGACATATGCATTATAGACATATGCATTATAGACATATGCAGCATCTACATATGCAACATAGACATATGCAGAATCTACATATGCAACATAGACATATGCATTATAGACATATGCAGAATCTACATTATGCAACAAATACATGTGCAACTTATACATATGCAGACAACACATATGCAACAACAGCACAACAGCACAACATCTAGACATTTTACATCTGCTTATTTTTGACACAAACGGAACCTCATAGGTGAGGGATTGCATTTAGAAAACTTTGAATCAGTTTGACTGTATGATCTGGTTGAACTGTAATGTGCATTGAGATGACTTGTGTTGTGAATTGGCGCTATATAAAGAAACTGAAATGAATTGAAATCTAGACATTTTACACCTACTTATTTTTTATACAAACGGAACCTCATATCTAGGCATATGGTTTAAGTACAAACATATATGAAGTTTACCTCTGAAGGGAAATTTGAGGTTGTTTTTCGATGTTTAACGAAGGGTTCCAGCCAGGACATGGTGATATAGAACGCTGGGACCTTCTTTCCGCCTGGGTCTCCTCTCTTTTTCGCCCTCATGTCCCTTCGTTGTCGCACAAACTTGTCCCGTGCGTTTTTCCACTTCCTCACCGCCTCGGCCGAATCTACACCCACATTCATCGCTATCTCCCTCCATGAATTTCTGGAATATCTGCTGTCCTTGTAGTGTATAGAACGAGAGTCGTACAGATGGGGGTGCTTCCTCACTTCTTCGCAGATTAGCTCTTCTAGCAGGTCCATCTTCACGAGTTGTTTTCCACAATGGCGGGCGTACAAACAAAACAAGTCAGTAAGGTAATAAACAGGAAATTAGCATAGTGCAGAGCGGAAGTAGAACTGACCAATCAGAGGCCTCCTAGTGACTGGATCACCGGGGTTTTCAATCGCGGCTCATCCAACCGAACATTTTTTCCGACACTAGGGGGCGTAATAGGCAAATGGACGCTGATAATACATATCCTTTGAGGACATTTAAAATTATCAAAACGGCACCAGTAATTCATAAAAAGGTTAACTCAAATAATAGGCCTTCATAGTAATGCATTTTGATGTTTAAAGTGATCAAAATGCCACCCTTTTTTATTCAGAGGCCCTGTGGTATGGAGGACCAGTCCACTCAGCAGCCTTCCACTTCAATTTGATAGCTGATATTTTGATTGCTTGATAAAAATGTACTTTTAAATTTTAAGTTTTAAAAACAAGATAATAGGCAATTTCACAAAAGTTAACATGCAGTACAAAGACATACCATAAATGTACTTCAATAAGTAAAATTATTTCAAAAGAGAGGTTAGCTACTGCATATTATTCACATTTCCAACTCTCTACCTTTGTATTTTCAGGCTTGGCCAAACTAACTTGTTGACTAATGACACACTGAACTGAATTATCTTGTGGAACGGAATGTCTAAGATTGGGGAGAACATGCGACTATTTTCTGTTGCTTTCTGCTTCGATGGTTTTATAGGAATTCCCACTTTGATCTTTTAGAAAACTGTGATACTATTGACCTAGAATACTCTGAAGCGACAATAACATAGGAACAATAATGTCAATGTAATATTGTTAGAATTTACCTTTCATGCCACTGTAGAAAAACTCAGAGCCTTATTTTCTGAACAAATATTTTAACTTTACTTGGGAACAAACAATGTATGTGGAAAACGATTGAGAAACAATTCAAAACTTCTTGTGTAATGATTGAAGCACAGAAACCAAGAGAAAACCAACCCACCCCCCCCCCCCCCCACCACCACCACACACACACTCACACTACACAAAACCAAGGCTTCCAAACAGATGTCCATTCCAAAACAGTCGCTGTCCCTCAGAGGGTCAATTCTTTCCTGAAGGAGCATGGAAACCTGTCTTCTGATAATTTCTGGTGTGTCTGGAATGATCACACAATCGTCTGTATCCAATGGGGTTGGTCCTTCCCAGTCAACCCCATAGCGATCTTCGTCAATCTACAAAACACAACAGCATTTAAATTAAATAAATAAAAAAGTAGAAAAATAGTAGCAAATAGATAGTAAACATTTTTACTTGTTATGGTATGATTAAGAATCCAAACCTGCTCGCTGGAAGGGTCAGTTATGGAGGTGTTTGCCAGTAACTGACTCCTAATCCACAACTGTTGAGGTGATCTACCTTGCTCCGTGGATAGGGAATGTCTGTCCCAAGCCACAGAAAACAGTTCTAAATGCCGATTTAGTCTGGGCAGCATTATGAAATAAATACATGCTAAATCCAGTTCACTATCAGGATTCAAAGCTGCAGTGTCAGCCAGATACTCCAGGGCATAGCGGTAGTTCACGGTGACAATAGGGGTGTAAATAATAATCGTTTTGTATCGATGCATCGATCCAAAAGCCGACGATCCGATGCATCGACACGTCCGCAAGATAATCGATTAATGTTTTTTTTTTTCCCTCCGGTCTATTTTTATCCATTTGCTCCTGGGCGTAATTCTCCCTCCCGTGCTGCGGTGCCGCTAAACCTATTTTGCCCTCCTACCGCGCTTCCTGGTTATACTCTTACAGCAGTTTGTTGCAGCAAGCTTCACACAGACATTTTTAAATTATGCTCAGTATAGGGCTCGGGATCCACGTTGCATTGTGGGACGTCGCGGTCATATTGACGGCTACGCAAACGTAAACATAGCTCTGATACAACGTTGTTGTTGAAAGAAGAGACGTAGAAGTAGAGAGAAAAAAGATGTCGAAATCCCGAAAAAGATCTGGAATTTACCAGGACACATTAAATAGAGAAGCCTCGGACCGGTATGTTGACAAAATCAGCATTATTAATAATTTGGATCCATATAAAGTTCCAAACAATGAGTGGAGCACCGATGAGTGAGCGCCTATACTTCAAAACAGTTCCGAAGCTACAAGTCCTTGGAGTCTCATATGCAGTTCATGAATGGATGGGTTCAGGAGCTGCAGATCATAAAGCCAGCAAACAGTGGGAACACAGTAATCCGTACGAAGGTAAGCTGTGATCAGACGGGCTCTGGAACCTGCTAGTTTAGCAACCGCTAACTGCTAATCCTAACAACCACTCACGCATGTAATGTACTTTTAACTAGCTGCTATGTGTTTCAAAGGTGTAGTTAGTAACGTTAACTGCCAACCCTCCGGGTTTCTCACGTATTTGAGCCTTTTCCCGCTGCCGTTTTTATTGTTTTCCCGTAAAAGATCCCAACTTTGAAGGAAAGAAACAAAGTAGGCTATAAAATAAAACCGTGCATCTTTACCTTACCAGAATGAAAATGCAGGGAACACACTCTCATTGACATTGGAATACTGTGGAAAGTTATGTTCGGTCGTCTTACAGCCGCGATCCAAGCTAGCCGACGACTCTTTTTCTCTGACGCTTGGTCTCCATGGTTACGCCTCCAGGCAGGAAAGCGGTGGAAAGTTAACCCATTTTCTATGTTTTTCCCATGGCGATCATGTGTTGAGCTGTTACAGCCCACAATACAGCAACGGTTTACCATGGTTGAAATCAAGTTAAGGTCAAATTAATCAGGCTGAGAAGGAGTACAGTATGTGGTAGTCATAGGCAGTAGTCTGAGCCGCGGTAAAAGAGGCCGTCAATATGGCGGCAACCTAAACTGCTTACGTCATGACGACCAAGCCCTATAGAAGCGTGGTCTGGGCTACACGCTGTGGGTCTAGATACGGCCGAGGCGATGAGGAAGTGGCGGCGAGTTTAGTCCGACGACGGAGGGACAATGGGGCAAAAAGAGCGGAGATTCAGCTGGAAAAAGGCTCCCAGCGTTCTCGCGCACCTCGCTATTCTAGCGGGTCAAACTTCACGAGTTGTTTTCCTCAATTTCGGTCATAAAAACAAAACAACCCGGCCTCCTGTCTGGTGCACTGTTTGCGGTCAGCTACAATCTGGGAGAGGAGCAGCGGAGCGTCTCTCAAGGGGCGGTGACGTCAACACTCTGGAGCCTTCTTCTTCTTCTTTTTTTTAATGGCGGTTGGCAAACAACTTATAGTTGCATTACCGCCACCTTCCAGAATGGAGTATGGACCAGACAAACTATTATATTCTCCCTAAAATACCCGTTCTTCTTAGAAAATTAAAAATACTACCAAAAACTACATCCCCAGATGACCTTTGAAACAATTCCCTTATATCTAGTTTATTTTTATTCCTGTCTAACTCTCTACACAACATCTCTCTTTCCTGAATATATTTATTACATTCTAAAAAAATATGTTGGAGAGTTTCTCTGGAGCCGAGGTATTGCATTGAACTCATTACACTGATATTGTGCAGTATTTCTGCAGTATTTTTTGATGCAACTTTTCTACTTCTGTTATTTGCTGTTGTTTCTAAAGAAAATGCATAATGATTTTACAGCTTTCATTGATTTATTTCAAACTTGAAACTTTGTTTAGCCTGTAAGGTGTAAAAAAAATAAAATAATAATAAAAAAAAATAATCGATTAATCGAATCGAATCGTGGTGTATTCTTAAGTATCGAAAATAATCGAATCGTTGGGTCAGGAAATCGATACTGAATCGAATCGCCATGATGGATGTGATTTACACCCCTAGGTGACAACACACCAAACGTCTCTCCACAGCCTCTCAATTCTTCGGTTATGGACACTGCGTCTCGTTATAAAACTTCTTCTTTCTGTAAAGAGCAATGCAAGGTGTAATTTTCTACAACCACATGATATTCTTTCATAAACGGGAAGTATTCAGACCCCTTTAATAGTTTTCACTCTTTGTTCATTGCAGACATTTGCTAAAATCAATAAAGTTTATTTTGTTTCTCATTAGTGTACACTCAGCAACCCATCGGATCCTCCGTCAGACGGTTCTGCTCCATCCTCCAGCTGTGTTTAATTAAACTGATTGGACTTGATTAGAAAAAGTACATGTCTATATAAGACCTTACAGCTCACAGTTCAGTCAGAGCAAACGAGAATCATGTGGTCAAAATGAGACAAAGATTTAACTTTTTGGTGTTCATTCTAAGCAGTATGTGTGGAGAAAACCAGGCACTACTCATCACCTGCCCAATACAATCCATACAGTGAAACATAGTGGTGGCAGCATCATGCTATGGGGGTGTTTTTCAGCTGCAAGGAAAGGACGGCTGGTTGCAATTGAGGTAAAATGCGGTCAAGTAAAGAGATATCCTGAAGAAAACCTCTTCCAGAGTGCTCAGGATCTTAGACTGGGCCAAAGGGTTCACCATCCAATAAGACAATTACCTTAAGCACACAGCTAAAATAACAAGGGAGTGGCTTGGGGAAAACTCTGTGATCAGTCTTGACAGGCGCAGCCAGAGCCCTGACCTAAACCCAATTGAGCGTCTACGGAGATACCTGAAAATGGCCGTCCACCAATGCTCACCATGCAACCTGACAGAACTGGAGAGGATCAGCAAGGAATAATGGCAAAGGATCCCCCAATCCAGGAGGGAAAAAATTGTAGCATCATTCCCAAGAAGACACATGGCTGTACAAGCTCAAAAGGGTGCTTCTACTCAATACTAAGCAAAGTATCTGAATACTTATGATCTTATATTGTTTTTCAGTTTTAATTTGCAAAGGTTTCAAATAAAGTTTCTGTAAAGAAGGGGTGCTGAGTGTAAATTAATGAGAAATAAAATGAACTTTACTCATTTTTGCAAATGGCTGCAATGAAACAAAGAGTGAAACATTTTAGGGGGTCTGAATACTTTCTGTACTCACAGTACTTAAATAAAACTCTGACATGATGCTAAAGGACGTACCTCCCCCTCGTTCAGGATGTTCTAACATATATCGAGCTACTTCAACATTTTCTCCTCCTT